ACCGAGGGACCGCAGGACCCTGACGGTGGCCCGGAACCCGTCGGCGGTCTCAGGCACAAGAGTCAGGAGGTCTCCCTTCATCTGCGCCACGATCCCGCAGGCCAACTCCGCGCGAATCCTATGCAGGAAGCCGCGTACGTCCTTCACCCCAGAGACGTACACCGGGGTTTTGTTACGGCGCTCCCCCGGAGCCGTTTTGTCCACTTGAGCGTGGGAAGAAGAAGCGGCATCAGATGACACGCCAGTGAGCGGCCCGGACAGATCCCCGGAAACCCGGGGAGACCTGCGCCCACGTGCCTCCTCCATCGAGGAAGCGGGTCCCGGTTGGGAACCGGGTCTCTTGGCTGAGGGCTGCACTGTCCCGCTTGGCGGTTTCAGCGCGGCGTGGTGAGCGGGGGAAGGTCCGCGGGACGACTTCACGTCCCTCACTCCTTTAACCTCTTGCGAGGCCCCGGTGTACGCCGCGCTGACCTCAGCATAGCTGCCGAGTTGCCGGCCACGCGAGGTGGCTTGTTCGCTCGTGGAAGCGGTGGTGGATGATGCTGCTACCGACGGGCCATCGGGCCGATGAACTTTTGCCGGTGCCGGCAGAGGAGGGGACTTGGCTCCGGACAGTGGCCCGGGCGCCGGGCGCCTGGATGCGGGTTCCAACGAACCGCCCGAATTGGACAAGTCCAACTCTTTGGCTTTCCTCTTGCCAGTGTTGGCTCGAGTAGGCCCTTCGACCACGGCTGTAGCTGCTGTTGCTGCTGTAGTTTTGTTTTGTTTCTGTTTTGTTGTCAATCGGCTTTTATGCAAATACCACAATGTCATTAAACAGAAACAACAATTATAAACGAATACACCAATTCCAAAAGCAACAATATCTTTAAATAGACACAACAATGCCGAATACGACAATGAAAATACATCAATGTCTAAAAACGATTACAACAATGCCAAACCCAATAATGTTAATAAACAGACAAAAATTCCAGACACGACAATGTCAATAACCAGACAACTAAACAATTTATTGACATTTTTATGCTGCTCTCAAGGCAACACGTCTCAATATCAATATGTGGAATTGGGACCTCTATCGCACAAGGTTCACAAAGTATTACTAGGACAACTAGGATAGAACTCGTGCAAAAGCGGCTTGAATGATAATACTGACACAGTTTGGCAGAACCAGTTTTGCTCCAGATTATGTAAAAATGCGTTAAATGCATGGTGGACTCGGTGCGACATTGGACAGCAAAGGGTTAATGGTCTGTGTCTGCTGCACTTGTTTTATTTGCGATGAATACTACATAACTGGATTTATAACACGTGGAAATTTTTATTGTTATAGTTACAGTATTTATTTGCATGACAAAGGTTTGTGGTTAACTACCCCGTGATGAGGCTAGAGTTTTTGGTATGATGATGATATTAGCAGCAAATCATTGAAATGAACAGCTGGTTCCATTTCTTTCCACACTTCATTTGCCTTTTGTGGGATATGTAATACGTATTCTTTCAGTAATATATGTCATTGTCGTCCTCAACTCGTATGTCTTCAGTCAATATATATATAAGCTGCTCTTTAGTACAGTACATTCAGACTTCGATACGGTATTCCACGAGAAGTATCAACATCAACATGTCCAGTAAGGGACCAGTGATAGTAATTGGAGCTGGACTTAGTGGTAAGGTTTTACGGAAGTGTATCCTGGTAGCTTTTCTATTTGCAATATAACCCAACATTAAACATAGAATGTATTTTACCCAGACTGGGAGAATAGAATCATTAAACCGTGTTGTTGTTTTCAGTTGCAGCACATATTGTTTAAGATCTAAGTTCCATAATGGATAAAGGCAGGCACGTGATTTTGCCATTTCTAGTCAATTAACATCAGAGTTATCCAGTATTCATCCTCAATTGAGATGAAAATCATTAGACTCACATTATTTAATAGTACTGCAATATCTTTAAAAGTTATTAAGTATATTCATGTTAATTGCTGCATGTTGTATGTGGTAGGTCTGTCAGACTTGTGTTTACTTCATGAGAGTTTAAATTTTAGCGCAAGACGCATTGCGGAGGAAACCAGTATTGAACATTCATTTGAATCTGTTGTGACCAAGGCATTGTTCTATTTAAATTTTAAGTTCAATATAATTTGTCCTAAAAATAATCAGGCAGGATGGGGTTTAAAAGTATCCAAATATGATTAAGTTGTAACCGTCCACTGGTCGTAACCACGTCTCAGGGTGGGTGTTCGGTTGTTCCTCCTTCCAAGGGCCATATATGATTGCTGGGTCCTAGCTCGTCGGAGGGTGGACTCTTATTTCGGGTGGTGTTAACGGCTTGGTTCATACCATTCAATAATAATTAGGAAGTCACCACTATTTATTGACACTCGTTTATAATTAAGTTACAGAAGTAAATGATAAGTTTATAAGATATCTTATTCAACCTATTAATCACTTGCGTGCTTTCTGTACCTTCGGTATAGAGACTCGAACCAAGAATGATATAACATTAGTTCCCATTGGCGAAAGGCCCGGGTTCGGTGTGAAGATCCACCCCTTTCTCATGAAAGAGAGAGACTTACAATATCCGCACAACCCGGTTTCCCACGCTTGCTCATAAATGCAACTCTTTGTCGATAATAAACAGAATTTACATGCGAGATTAAAGATTAAGTAAATCCTTAAATGTGTTTTCTGCTCACGTAACGTAAAGCC